TAGGACGTACTTAATTGCTTCATGCTGTTCTTTTAATGTTGTCGAATGTGCCAATGGCACAGATGCAAATTGATTTCCATTGTGTAACAACACACATTTCAAGGACCTTTTGCTGCTGTCGATAAAATGTCGCCAGTCCTCTGATTTGTATTCAGGTACGCCGAGATGCTTCAGTAGCTCTAGTATGTCATTGCGATAGACTAATTCTTTTTCTTGAGCAAAATATCTTAAAAATTCCTGGTGCCTGGTACGGAAGAAACTTACCTTAACTTTACCATTTAGCATGTTCTTGTTCTTTAAACGAGATGCAAGAAGTTCGGCAGAGTCTTTTGGCAAATTTAAATCGCGAACAAGATCGTTTAGTTCGTTTTTGGAAAACACTTTTGGCTGCTCATCATTGTCATCGGGAAAGGATGCATCATCGGTAGTGGCATGTGAGCATCCTGGTTTAGTTTCTTCAATACTTGTATCTTCAAATACAAGTACGGGAATTTCTTCACTATAAGGAGTAGGGCGCATAGCTGACGGTAGATTGGGATACTCCAGTGTTGTGCGATTTTTTCTGTTAGTTCCCATGACATTGATAGCACAAAAGTAGCAATCGGTTGCATGACTCTCGCCAATCATGGGGATGCCAAAGTTCATGGACTTTTGCATGCCTTTGCTCCATTGACGGAGATGCTCTGTGCATCTTTTGCAAACCATGTGAGGTGCCCAACTTTTGTCTTGATCGCCGAGCTTCATGCCAAAATATGCATAGTAAACGCGCTTGATAAAGGTGGTGACAGTATTGCGATTTGGTGCAAGTGTGTATTTACCACAGAGCAAAAAATATCAGGCTTATTTTTATTATTTCTACTTTTTATTATTTTTTACTTACATTAATATGTTGGTGTGTTTTAACACGTTTTACAATTGAATTCCAGTATGGGCTAAATAAAGCCTTATTTTATCTTTAAATATCCCATAATAATCGCAAAACCTAAACTCCCTAATTGAAATTCAATCAAAAGTTGCTTATTCAAATGCTTTCTTCTTTTTATTGCTAGTGCTAAAAAATTTAAATTTGTTCAGATAATAGAACTTTAAAAGGTAAATGGTCAGTACTTCTGTTGTACCTTTCTCGGGTATTTAAAAGTTAAAAAATAGAAAATTAACGATAGCTTAAAATCTCGACCTGACCCAGCAAAAATAGTGTTATTTTTGGACTCAGCACATCAAAATTGTACAAAATCAGTTTACAAAACTGAGACACCAAATTTGCTGTTGACCAGTGTAATATAAGAAAGAGTATATAGGAAGCATAACGTTACGTCTTAACTCGCAAGGCACATTAAAACTTTATAAATGTAGTAATAGCCTTTAATAAAAGAAAACTAAAACTCGTCGGGAGTAATGAGATTACTGGGGAACTAAGTCAAGGCAGGATTATGCATATTTATGTTTTTGTCTCCAGTTTATGAATTTTTGAAATAGTTTGTCATATTAGAATATGGATGTTGACTATCGACTTAGTTCTATATGATTAGTCCAGCTTTTATTTTGCTTTAACACGCGGTAAAACAGGGACTGCGCAGCAAAATCAAATCTGGAGAGCCTGTTTTCCACTAGGCACGTGCAGTGAACTCCATATATATATATATATATGGAATGATAACTACAATACATTTTATAGATAAAAAGTTGAAGCCAAAGTCCTAGTCTCTTGCGCGGTTTGTACGTCAGTTCCAGTCCCTCAAAGTCGAATATTCACGCGGTTTGTACGTCAGTATCATTCCCCTGAGTGCCAAACATACACGGCCAATATAAATTTGAATACAAATTGCAAAAGCATAAACATATAAACAACATCACTACAAACAACACACTAGGCTAACTACTCGCAAAAGGCTATTTTTTACAGCTGAAACTTTACTACAGTGAGTTCGTTGTAACTTACAACTTGTAACGAGGAAAAGCCAACTGAAAATTACACTGTATACTAAAAAGACAATACAATAAGAAAATATGACGAGAAAATATTCAAGCATAAATTTTTCATTCGTCGGAAGGTAAATTTTCAAACGGTGTCAGACAGTGTTTGATCTTATTTCCGAAGAAAATCTATAACTCGCATTTTTGCTTTTTACAGAGCGATTGTATTTTTAGTCGATTTTGATAGTGCTTGAAATACTAAATGGTTGTCATCTCGATATCAAAAATGAATATCCTTATAGACTTTGCATGTCATTTTTTTGACTCTGAAGATGACTACCGCTAAGGTTGTCGAAACGTCAATCAACAACAACAAAAACAGTCCTTCTCAGGATTATACCAACCTGGACGATCTACATTTACAAACATGTAACGATACTCCCGGGTTCAAACCAAAGACTTTGATATGTTTTAAAGAAAAACCGCAGCGTAAGAGCAGATCGATCAAGTTCACCTCACCTTGTTTCTCGATTTATCACGAATCCCGTTGAGTCACCTGATTTTTTCAGGTCCTGAGGCGATTGCTTAAATTGTCCAGCAAAGTGCGAAGATCATATCTTCATTTAATAATACAACATAATTATAGTTGTTGTAGAGTTCATT